GGAGCGCACTTTGTTCGCCGTCTTCTTGATGTCGGCCGTGAGGTCCTCGAGCTCCTGCTTGGTCTCTGAGTGACCGCGAGTGACCATGAGTGACCGGTGAGTGACCACTCACTGACCGGTCACTGACCACTCACTGACCGGTCACTGATTGGTCACTGATTGGTCACTGACCAGTTACTGACTGATTAATGAGTGATTAATGATTGAATAATGACCATTGAGTGACCGGTGAGTGACCATGAGTGACCACTCACTGACCAGTCACTGACCACTCACTGACCGGTCACTGACCAGTTACTGACCAGTTACTGACTCATTAATGAGTGATTAATGAGTGATTAATGACTGATTGATGACTGATTAGTGACCGCGAGTGACCATGAGTGACCATGAGTGACCACGAGTGACCACTCACTGACCGGTCACTGACCAGTCACTGACCGGTCACTGATTGGTCACTGACCAGTCACTGACCAGTTACTGACTGATTAATGAGTGATTAATGATTGAATAATGACCATTGAGTGACCATTGAGTGACCACTGGGTGACCAGTGAGTGACCGGTGAGTGACCATGAGTGACCACTCACTGACCGGTCACTGACCAGCTACTGATTGGTCACTGACCAGTTACTGATCGATTAATGACTGATTAATGATTGATTAATGAGTGATTAATGACTGATTGGTGACCAGTGAGTGACCATGAGTGACCACTCACTGACCAGTCACTGACCAGTTACAGACCAGTGAGTGACCATGAGTGACCAAGTGACCAGTTACTGACCGGTCACTCATTGGTCACTGACCAGTTACTGACCAGTTACTGATCAATTAATGACTGATTAATTAATGACTGATTAGTGACCAGTGAGTGACCACTGACCGGTGGGTGACTGACCGGTGACCTCTGACCCCATTAATGACCCATTGATGACCCCTTGATGACCCCATTAACCCCATTAATAACCCATTAATGACTATTAATGACACAATAACCATTCAATAACCCCACTAGCGACCCAAATAACCCAATTAATTAATTAATAATTAATTAAATTAATTAATAACTCACTCTCGTCGGGGTTGGGGGCGGCCAGGATGGCGCTGTGCTGCTCCTTAGTGACCCCATTAACCCCATTAATGACCGTTAATGACCATTAATGACTCAATAACCCAATTAATTAATTAATAATTAATAAAATTAATTAATAACTCACTCTCGTCGGGGTTGGGGGCGGCCAGGATGGCGCTGTGCTGCTCCTTAGTGACCCCATTAACCCCATTAATGACCATTAATGACTCAATAACCCTTCAATAACCCAA